TGTTGTCCGTTTGTTAGTAGGAAGTGTCTAGAAGTGTGAGCTGTTTTCGTTTATTTTTGTTAGATACACAAATAACGTAGTCACACTCGAGGTGAATTTGCAAAGATTTGACGCCGCATGTTGACCCGTTGACGCAGTCGAGCAAGATTGAGCTTAGACTTCTAGTAGTCACAGCTTTTCCCACCCACGCACAGACGTTGATGTAAATCGCAGAGTGCTTAACATAAGCCAGCTGCGAACACATCAACCAATTTGTTGCGAATAATCATTGTCGTTGAAAAACCAAACTTATTCGAAAGGCACAAGTCGTGCCTGGTTTGGGTTTGTCCAGAAGAGTGCAGTTTCAAGGGTTTCGAAAGAGGTGGTCATGCTAATCTATTTCTTATACACTATAGGGAGTTGAGAATATTATCCGATCTTTGATGGCTACAACGCAGAAAAAGTGCTAGATATTCGAAATGGAGCTTGCTCAGTTTTGGTTTTACATCCACGTGCAGACAGCCGATATTTCAGTTGAAGAAGTTTCCAAAAGCGACTTCTGAAATTAATTCAAGGCTTATAGTCAGCGATTGGCGAAACGGTACCCAGTGATAGAAGTTCCCCGCAGTAACCATTGGTTCGCCGTCGCAGCACGAACTAGTTGAAACAATAACTTTATTTCTATTTGTATGTAGGAGCAGTTAAAGATGTACAAATTTTCGCAGTTCGAATGAGCAGGCTCCCTTTTGGATTTTTAGCAACTTTTTGTGGTTGCTACCTTCCTCGTTTACACCTTGAGTGACCTTGCCACAAAAAGATGGTGGTCGAAGGGGCCATTTGAAAAGAGACATGCAATTCGGTGTGTGGTTTCGGACGTTGATCTCGGATCGATTGGCACATTTGGGAAAAATATAGGAAAAAATTCCGTTCAGCGGATCTATTTCCCAAATGTGCCAATCGATCCGCTGAACGGAATTACGGAGGTTTTTTGGTTTCCACGCGAATTCAACACAAACAGTTAGCAAGTAGCGCCCAAACTTGTTGGAACTCCCCGCAAACTGCACGGTAACTATAGACAAGCGTTGATACAGTAACGTAGTTGGGAGCCTTTTTCAACCATGTTAGCGAAGGCAAAAGGGAGAACCCGTCAGGGAATCGATCCTACGACCTCTCGCCCGTGAGCCCGGACCACTACCGCTGCTCTATTTTGCTTCATAACTCCGTTCGAAAATCGATTGGCAGATTTGGAAAGCAGATTCGAGATCAGCGTCCAAAAACACATCCAACAGTTTAGTGCATATGGCCACTTCGACCTATCATCCTTTCCTGGTTACCATACACTCAGCGCAAGCTCTAAGATATTATATCTTTGCTTTTAAAGGAAAAGAAGTTCCAAGTGAAAATATTTGCTCTAAATATCGAAAGATACAGCGGCTCACCAGCTATTGTTTGATTCATCGAGACCGTTGTAGGTCAAGTTCACTTCCAATGGTTCAGGAAAGAAACCCTATGAAATCCATATGAATTCTTTCACGAAAAAATATTTGGTCACCTTTCTGGGGAAGCTTTTGATGAGCTCTGAACATAAATACATTTACTTTTTCTATTCGAAATTATAAGAAATATTCGAAAAAAGAGCGATTAGTCGGTTTAGAACGTCGCTCTCGCTCGTTAACCAAGAGCAAGTCGCAGTCCGGCATAGGTGAGCGTCAGCAAATTCGCAAGTCGAAGGAGGAGAGCTGGTGACATTGGCGACATTAGCTAAC